TTTTCATCACAACTACTCGAACTTCCCATCTAGATGGAAAACATGTGGTTTTTGCTAGAGTAATTAAAGGAATGGGGGTTGTCCGTTCTATGGAACATGTGACTACTGGTGAAAATGATTGCCCAACAGTAGATATCAGTATTGCGGATTGTGGAGAAATTCCTGAGGGGGCTGATGATGGTATCACAAATTTTTTCAAAGATGGTGATCTATATCCTGATTGGCCTGCCGATCTTGACAACAATACTGATGATCTCCCTTGGTGGGTCACCGCTCTAGAGTCGATTAAGGCATTTGGTAACGAAAATTTTAAGGTATTAATTTTAAAGCAACATCAGTGTTATTAACTACCTAATCCCCTTGCTTCTTTTTCTCATTGACATTTGACTATATATCTTTTAGCTATCTTTCTTACGTATGCTTGCTTCTTCCCACAGAAACAAGATTACAAGATGGCTCTTAGGAAATATCGAAAAGCTTTGCGCTATTTGGATATCTGCTGGGAAAAAGAAGGGATAGATGAAGGTAGGGATTGTAAAATATTTTGTAACATAAATGGCTGTGAAATATATCTGTTTCTACAAACATAAATAGCGCTGGAATATGGATTTGTCCATAAAAATTGTTGTCATGTGAATTATAACTCTGCTTGTTCCTCTTGCAGATAGGAGCGCATATTTGAGAAGGATGAAATCACAGATATTTACCAACAGTTCTGTGAGTTACCTTTCTGTTGCTTTAGTTTGATGCAGTACTGAATTTGCATTATAGGGAATAATCATAACAATACACTTAGTCTGCTTTTTGTTTCTAATGGTCGTAAATGTTTTTACTACTTCTTGATCATTTCAGGATAGTACAGGGACTAAACAGCATTAAAGTCATTATTGCGATAAATGTAGTATTATTTTTTTTAATTGTACTTTCCTTTTCATCTAGGCCCCTTTTTGTTTTGATGTCTTATATTTGCTGATTGCGCATTTGTCTTTGATTGAAACCTCAAAGTTTATCACATCCTCTAGTTCAGCACTTGCCTTCATAACCCCAGTTGTCATGCTTTCTTAAATTCATATTTGTTTTCCTATTAACCAACCAAACAAAATAACTGATAGCTGTTATGTATAACCAGGCTTCTAAACTAAAACTTGGAGATCTGAAGGGAGCACTCCTAGATGCTGACTTTGCAATGCGGGATGGAGAAAACAATGCAAAAGCTCTATTTCGTCAGGGACAGGTTGGTATCTATCACGGGCTTTTGTATTCTGCAGCAGCTTTGATCATCTTAACAATTGAATAACCTGCTTGTTAATTTGGGTTTTGGAATATCGACAACAACAACAATATCCAGTGTAATCCCAGAAGTGGGGTTTGGATAGACCCTAGGCTCAATTAAGGCGGGTTTCAGAATAATAAATATAAATTAGATTGCAACCTTTTCTTACTATAGTGCTGAGTCGAACACTTGGTACTTCTCAAGTTTGAAAGTAATAGATATACACTTCTTGATATACCTAACATCTTTACAATTTAATTGAGTGAATTCTGCTATTTCTTGGGAAAAAAGACTTTCTAATGGAAAACAAAGTTGGAACTCCATGATATTTTGTTGGTGATCTGTGTTTCCAACAGATGGTTCTATAACTCAGTAGAGTGGTGTACATGTCTATCCTATTCTCTTGGCATAAGTAGGTGCAGTTATGTATCGTTCACCATAAAGTTGTAGTGGTAAAAGGGAAAAATAGGATGGCTATTCTAATTTACTTCTGAAGTTCAATTTACATGGTAAAGTATTAGTTTATGTGGGTTCCTGGTTCTTATTTGAGAGATTATTTTGTTATAATGTTTTTTTACAATGTAATCCTGCTTTGGATATATATGTTCATTGATGGTTATGTTTTTACTTTTCTGTGTGGGGTGGGTGGGTTAGGGGTGAGTATGGTTAGTGTTAAGTTGTACGTGCTTGCTGTTTAATTGCCGATATGGTAGCTGCTTTTATATGTCATTATGGTTAATGTTTACTCACAGCGCTCTTCTATTACTCCTTACAATAGCTCCTGTGTCTTTAACAATAATGCCTGTCTGTTTGCCAATCAATCACAACCATTGTCTATTACTCCTTACAATGGCTCCAACAATAACGTCTCGTCTGTTTACAAATCAGGCACACATGGCTCTTAATGACATAGATGCTGCAGTAGAAAGTTTCAAGAAAGCATTGGAGCTTGAGCCAAATGATGGTTAGTGATAATTCATTTTCTGGTTAATTGTTATGCTTTTTTGCCTTGAAAGGTTTTTTGACACCTAACTAGAATTGACACTGATTGGAACGCTAATGATCAGAAAATGTTAAACTGCGATGTGAGATCTTTACTTAGGTGAATGCAGGGGTGTGTATGCTGTAATATCATAAGAATTGTTTAATTATACCATCGGCGGCATGATTAGCTGCATGAGAACAGTAGTGAATGCTCGATCGGGATAAGCTTAAGTGTCTATTATACTTGTAGACTATTTTTACTGAAGTGACTAATTTGGTGATGAATTTTCAGGAGGAATCAAAAACCAGCTTGCTGCTGCTAAAAAGAAGGTTAGTACTTGGCATGAAGACTCCATACGAGTTTAACACACAATAAAATTAGTTTTTTCCCAGACAGTCTATTTGTCATACTTATTTTGTTTTCTTTCTTTTTCCTTATAGATTGCTGATAGAAGTGACAAGGAGAGAAAAGCATTTTCCAGGATGTTCCAAAATTAGTTTTGGTACTCATTTGGCACCAGTGCTGGCAATTAATACTCTTTATCAATTGCCATCATTCTGGGAGTTCCTTCTGCTTTCAGAAACAGGATAGTTTATTGCCTTGTTTCGAGACATTGATCCTGATCGAACTGAATTAACTTTAAATGAACTGCTCAGGCTATTCTTGGTTATATGCACCAAATAGCAGAAGGGATTTTAGGTGTCAATGCACCCTTGTTGTTATTAATCAGCTGCACGGAGAAAAAAAAAAATTAATCATGAGCATCGTTATCCAATGTTCTTTTAAAATTGTGCTGACTTGCAAGGTGACTTTCTTGCAATCTCTGTAGCCTAATATTACCACATTGAGATGGAAGTAACTTGTATGTATTATGTAACTTAGCTGTCATGGTAAGGGCATATGATGGGAAATTTGGTTGGTTTTATTGTCCATTACATATGTTAATTGTAGTTATTGACTTATGTCCCTTCTCACAGGAAATCGGTAAATATTAGATCTGTTAATAACAGGTGATCTTTGTGGAGTGATGTTCTTCTATTCAAATTGTAAGTCCTCGCGTCTGACCTTGCATTTTTCTGTGTTGAAAATCGAGACTCAAAACGCATAATGGTTTGTTGTCTCTCTATATTTTTTGACGCATCTCTATGTATTGTGAGTCTCAATGTTCTTGTGATTGTTGTATCCATAGCATTCTAAAGGGTTAGGGAAACAAAAGAGCTGCCGAGTTGTCTTAGATTTACTTTTAGCACTAGTGTTCTGGTCCAACATTTTTGTGTCCCGTGTATGTTTTAACTTGCTATCTGTTACCAATCCTCCCTGTCCTTTTGGGGATGAAGTATACCATAAAAAGAACCAAATGTGACTAAACAAAATCTGCAATGGGAACTTCCTTTTTTTGGTTTGTACTGTATATTCTTCTGCACATGAGAAAGAAAAAGAACTAAATAAGATGCTTCTGTATAGAGTAAGTCATATTGTGCAGTTGTGCCCACCTTTTTCTTGGAAAAATAAGTACAGTAACATTTGAAGTTGAAAATAAAGTTGATGGTAAAGAACACACCTAAATTATCACTGTTTTTTGAGTTTCATACATGAATTATCATCAATTATTTATCAAAATGTATTTCAACTATTACTTGTTCTTTTTTCTTACCTGAAGTATCACTATCATTTAGGGAGGAAAAACTCTTATTTTATCTGTAAGAAATGTCTACTTCTAGTAGGTGGACAAATACATGTGTAGTAAAATACGACTTGTGATGTATGGGTATGTGTACGTCACATGTTCAATTTCAATTTAATGCTTGCTATATATATATAAGTGAAGAACGATAGATGGACATGCTTGTTATTTACCGTATATTTTGAACGCATTGTAAAATCTTTCACTCTTAGAGCTGAAACTCGAGACCTTTAATTAAGCATCGAACAATAGTTAACACTCCATCATAAAATATAATGGTCTGATTGATGTCATTATTACGTGAATGTGTTGTCTGCAAAAAATAAATCCTCCTTTTGTCAATTTTCCCAGCTGACTTCTTTTATTCAGTTCCAAAAGCATTATTCACATTTCACCCGCTACTAGCGCATCAAATGATGGATTATAACTTTTTCTTGATCAACATCCCACTAAATAAAAAATAATTAACAGTTACTTTTGACTTCTAAATGCCTTGCATATTGTAACAGAATGCGTCAAAGTCAAATCGTTTACATGGTTTTTCTTAAGTAATTTTTTTTTATAAAAAAGAGTTAAAAATAGACAAAGAACTCTTAGCCATAACAAGTTTGATCTAGATGATTAATTTGCGACGATAATTGTACAATGACTATCGACTATTTTATCTATCGTAAAATATGAACTTTAGTCCTATATACGGATAGTGTAATTTTTCAACCTCTTAGCATAGAAACATAAGTTAAACATGTTTAATAGAGAAATATATGAACCCCCCCTTAAGATATCTCACGTATAGAAGCGACCAGCAAAAGTGCTAATTAATTAGTCGAAAAGTGTGTAACAATTTCGGTTTAGGTCAGTAACCATTTTCATATTCTTAAAAAAAGAAAAAAAAATGTGAATTTTGAAAAAGGCAATCAAGTGTTTTTTGCACTAATTTTCTTGTCTAACCAACCAATTACTTCAAGAAAATGTTGACTCATTTTCTAATTAGTCATATTTTTGTAGTTGGCTTACTATTTATAGCCCATCATTTTGGCTCTCTCATCACCACACAATCAATTCCATTTCTCTTATATCTTCTTCATTGGAAAATATATTCGTGGGTAAAATAAAAATGGCTTTGGCTAACGCACAAACATTTCTGTTTCTTGTAGTGTTTTCATTCATGTTTGTCCTTAGTATGGCCAACTTTAACTACGGTTGGGGACCAGGAAAGTTGAACAAAACCAATTGCCCATATGGTAATAATCACCCAAATGCTACTCAAACCTCAAATAAATTGAACGTTGGTGGTTCCGAAAATTGGCGTTATGGATTTGACTACATGGATTGGGCTCGTAAGAGTGGCCCTTTCTTTGTCAATGACACATTAGGTACGTACGTCTTCTTTCATTTAAAAATTGAAAGGAATGTAAGTTACTAACTTTAAATTTCTGAATTCGTTTATGTGCAGTTTTCAAGTATGATGCACCAAACCCGAATGGAGGATTTCCTCACAGTGTATACTTATTACCAAACTATTGGAGCTTCATCAAGTGCGACTTGAGAAGAGCTAAGAGGATAGCAAATCCGATCCAGGGTGCAGGGGAAGGTTTCGAGTTTGTGCTGAAGAAATCACAGCCCTACTTTTTTGCTTGTGGAGAGCATGGGGGCATCCATTGCAATAATGGTACTATGAAGTTTGTTGTCATGCCACTCAAACGTTGGCCTTTCTAAGTTACGTTGGCTGCTCCAAACTTGTCGAATAATTGAGGCACCAAATACAATACTTAGTAACCTTTTGCATTTTAGTTTTGTTTGGAACTAAATAACAAGTCTTATTAGATATTGGAATTTTACTTTGAATTTATATGTTGTGATTGAAGTTTTGACCAAAAAAAAAGATTGATAATGATATATATATATATATATCGTTTCAAAATGTGTTTCGACGTGAAATTCGTTATAAATAAAATGAAGAGAAAGCCAGAAAGAGGCCAATGTTGATGAACTCATTGTACTATTCATTGTATTGTTTTTTGCATTAAATCAAAATAAAATAAAAGTAATAGTAATATACTAATATGTTATTTTCCTTCTAAACTAAAGAAAATTATATATTTTTTCAATTAATGTAAATTTAGACTTGAAAGAAACAGAAATTATATTATAGAATACTTTTAAACTAAAAAGGCAAATAAATTATATTGTGACTTTACTGAATAAAATCTTATTAATTAACCAATAAAAGTATATGCATAAAAACAGTTGTTGATAACATATATGCTATTGTTTCTGTTGAGTGATAGCTACCTTGCCATTGTTAGGGAAATTGAGAGAGTAATTGAGAGATGAAGAAAAAGATAAATGAAACAGTGAGAATTGTATTAACCGACTTGCCTCTTTACACTATTTATACACAGTTCTCTGACTAACTAGAATTAATTAGAAACTATCTTTTAAAACTAATTAACAAACTTAACAAATCCAACTAACTAATTGTATTGTTCAGCTTAACAGTTTCTTTCATAAAAAATCCATTAAAGGGAGGGATGCTCAAACTATTTAATTAAATTCAATTTGGTTCTACTTTATAATTTGGACTACACTAAACAGCTCGTCCGATTTTGTTATTTATAAGCCAAATTAAATTTAAAACAAATTCTTTTCTTCATCGTGATTATTACGTAGCTAACCAAAAAATCATCAGAAATTTGAGCGCATTACCCGAATTATACCTTTATGAATATTTTTGGTGTGTGTCCATTAATTTGAAACTTGAAACATCCATATTTTCTTTTTCCTTTTTTTTTTACTTTTCTGCTTGTATTTGTATTTTTTTTTTAATGTTATTATGGGTAGAGTATATATTGTATCTAGTTACTAGGAATTAGAATTTGTGGGGGAAATAGATTTTTAGAGTTTAAGTAAGTTTAGGATTGTATTTTTTTTTTCTAGATTTAAAATAGGAATAAAAAATTTATGTTTAGGATTTTTTTTTTTTTTTAGCTACATGTTTTTCTTCTTTATTTTTAACGTTCTGTTGCTCTTATTTATTTTTTTTGTCTTACGTTTTGTTATCTTTTCTTATTTCTATATAATTTTTTTACCAAGCAAAATATAGGTTCATTAACTAAACTAAAAGCGAAATCAGTAAGATTCCCAGAATAAACTCAAAGCCTTTCATACAGAAACCAGTAAAACATTCCTCGAATCCCATGTCGTCATCAGATTCCTCTTTCTTCTCCTCAGCAGCTGGTGCTGCAGATACAGCTACTGCAACTCCACCACCACCAGCGGGTACTGACTTGGGACAAGAGGAGTTCAATCCTATCATCATCAGCAAGGATCTTCTTCAAATCTGCAGCAGATGGGGAGGTGTTGCCACCCAACAAGTAAGAAGCGATAACCTTCATTTTCTTATTTTCTGAGATTTGTAAGCTTTAATGGCGTAGAGCTGCTGCTGCTGCTGCTTCTTACTTTCTGGTTTAAATTTTTTTGTTTCTATTACGCTTTATTTTATTTTATTTTTCTTTTCTGTTCGCGTTTGTTCTGTTTTTTTATTATTATTTTTTTCTTATGCTTTCTCATTTTTTTTATAAAATCAGTTTTCCTAATTATTCATTATTTTATTTTTTTACCATAAATCTCTAAATAATATTCATTTATCCTCTTAATTATATACCTTAATAATTCAAATTAAAGCGATAATCATCTTAACGCTTATTCTAAAGGTAAACTATTTTTTATCAAAATAATATATTAAAGAAAAAACTAAAACACATTCCACATAGGTTTTCTAAATCACTAATCAATTAAACTTTAGTTTATATCCTAATCTAACAAGTTTACGAACAATTTCAACTAAATTTTCTTAAGTGAAAACTAAGCTCCAAGAAACATTAACTATTCAAAATTAAATATCACGAAACCAATTTCAATATTAATTAATAAAAAAAAATATATGATACATCTTTTATTTTTATTTTTATATTATTTTTTTTAGCAAGAAACGTCTTCAGTTTCATTTTCCTAAGCATTCGTAAATTCTCAAAAATAATCACAACATGCATCACAGATTGATATTACATAATAATAACATGCGATTAAAAAAACTTCATATTATTGGAATCGAGTTTTCGTACAAGTATTCTATTTAAATCATGCGAAAATTTAGAGTTACCTCACTGCGAAAATTGATACCACAAAAATAACTGCTACGATCTACTGATTTCCAAAGTTAATAGCTAATATTAACTTTAAAGAACCACGAATCCGAAACCTTGAGTGAAACCTCGAACGCTGACTTAATTCTCAAAATAAAAACTCACTTTTGTTATCTTTTTCTCTTTGTGTTTTTTTTCTCTCGTTTCTTCTGTGTGTTTTTTATAATAGTTTTGGGTGTGAGTATGGTGCTAATTAAAAGGAATGTGAGAGAGTGGGGAATTTAGTTTAAAATTTAGTTGATAATTTTAGGGTTGAGATAAAGGAATAAAATAAAAATAGTAATATAATATTAACAAAACAATAAATAAAAAATAAAACAAATAAAAAGAAAAAGTAGGAAAACGTGTATTGTTAAGAAAAGATCGTGCAAGAGAAAAAAAAAAGAATAAATAAATAAAAATAAAATAAACTAAATGGGAGGAGGAATTTTAGGAAATAAGTTAAGGAAATTGGGGATAATTATGATAAAGATTAAAGGGTAAGGTAATTTGAAATTTTAGGACTCTTCTTTTTTTATCTTTTTCTTCTACTTTTTCATGATATATACGATTTTTTTTTTTTTTTTAGACTAGTTAAAAGTCGAAGGATTAAAACAAATACATTAAATTCACAAGCTTTTTAAATTAAATTTTAAACATAAAGTGAGCTTATAATTTGTTGTAATTTTTCAAATTTTTTTAAATTTAAATATAATCCTACTGAAATAATAATATATAAATATTAAAATTGGTATAAAATCTTTATGTTTTGGTCAAAAACTAGGTGTTCACAGCACTCTTTAATAATGTGTACATTTATTATCGCTAAAAATTGTTTCTGTTATAGTGTAAATATTAGTTTGCAAAGATAAGTGGCAACTAACATACAATTGATTAATTTGCCAATGAAAATCTGCATTGCAAGTTTGAATAGTCCAAAAAATCTTTGAAATGTTTGTATATCCTAGTGTTAGTTAAGATGATCGATTTGAATGCGCGGAATCAATGTGTTCCTAGCTAGTCCAGTTAATAAGTTAGATAAAGGTAAATCTAAAATTTAAACTATCTGGTTTAACCTTTTTAAATTCTTAGCATTAAATCTATTGTTTTCTTAAAGTTATAAGTTAAAATTTACTCTTTATATTATTACAATATTAATAAGTTTTTACGAATAAATTTACTGTACTCCATGCCAAAAGTATGGCATATATATCCCCTATGTGACAACTATTTAATTGATCGTAAAATATAGGTGAAATGGTCTAATGGACCCTTGTACTTGTATAAGTTTGTATTCTAGACCTTTTTTTACTTAATCTTTTGCCAACTGAACGCTTATACTCAATTAAAATGAGATGTTTAAACCCTCTAACCATTGACCCAGCTTATGTGGCATTTATTTTGCTGACTCAATTATAGTGCGTGGTTTCACACTTAAAAAGGTGAGTGAAAGCAATGAATTTGCTTTAAAAATAATTAAATAATAAAAAAGAAGAAGGAAAAAACAAATTAAAGTTCCCAACCCGTCCCTCTTCTTCTCCCTTGGCTTCCGACGTTTTGAGAAAACGGTGCAGATCTCAGCGTCCCTTGCGATGCCATTTTCATCTGCATCTTCACCCATTTTGTCCATTGAACCTTCGTTAATGATTAAGTGTTTTAGTGAGTTTTAGCATAATCAATGGAAGTTTTAGATGTTGAACAAGAAGGCTGATTTTGCTCCGGTGGTTATGTGATGATTTTGCTTCGGTGGTGATTTTGCTCTGGTGGCTTTCTCCGCCCATTCTGTTCATACGTTTTTTTTTTGTGTTGAGATCTAGGTTTGATTGTGGGTGGTCTTATTCTTCGAGCCTCAAAAATCTGCCATAAGATCTAACATTAATAAAACATTGTCCGTTTATATTAGTTTTGAGATCTGGGTTTGAGCTGTGGCTTTCTGAGCTTCATAGTCATTTTCCAAAGAAGAAAAGAATTAGGAGAAAGGAGATCAATGAAAAAAATTTCTTGTTTTCTTATGTTGTATTTATCCTGTTGTAGCCATTGATAAAATTTTAGCCTGCCTAATTATCTTTTCAATTGAAGTTCAAGGAAGAAGGAAAGTGATTCATCATTTCAAAGATTACTTTTGGATTTCTGTTTTTTCTTTCTGTGTTTGGTGGTGATGGGTTGAGGAAGGTGGAGGAAAAGTGAGAGAAATAATTATTTTGTTTATATTTTAAATAGAAAACTTAGAATTTTTATATTTTATTTGAATGACATTTTTAGTTAATAATTTAAAAAATGTTAAGAAATAATTATGACATGGCATTAATATATATGATGTGGATATGACAAGTCATTTATGTTAGAGAGAGTGAGTTACACACATGGTTGGAGGGGTTAAAAAATTTCATTTTAATTGAGTTTAAGGGTTCAGTTGACAAAGAGTCAAGTAAAAGGGTTCAGAATACAAACGCATACAAGTACAAGGGTCCACCAGACCATTTCGCCTAAAATATATAAACGGCCACGGATTTAAGTTCTACATACATTTGATAGTGTAATTTTCGTTTTAGCCACACTGTGTTAGAGTTTTTCCCTGATTTTCTTACCTGAAGTTTATTTTTTTCTAAGAGAAAAGACAAAACATTACCATAAATGTTTTTACTTTTCCTGTTCAGGAAA